TCTACTAAAAATGGAAAGAAATGGCCAACTAAAAATATATAGAGAGAAAATGAGCCAGGCATGGTGGCGCCAGCATGCCTGTAGTCCCAGCTACTTGGGAGGCCGAGGCAGGAGGATCGCTTAAGTCCAGGAATTTGAGGTTGCTGTGAGCTAGGCTGACGCCATGGCACTCACTCTAGCCTGGGCAACAAAGCGAGACTCTGTCTCAAAAGAAAAAAAAATATGTGTATTATATTACAGTATTATGATTGTGAATATTTAGAACATTTAGAGGTTTATGGGGTACATAATGGGGAGCTTCTCTGCAACAATTATTCTTTTTTTGTGTGTGTGTGAGACAGAGTCTCACTCTGTCGCCCAGGGTGGAGTGCAGTGGTGTCATTATGGCTCCCTGTAACCTCAAACTCCAGGGCTCAAGCGATCCTCCTGCCTCGGCCCCCCAGAGTGCTAGGATTACAGGTGTGAGCCACTGCGCACGGCCTTTAGTTCTTACTTCTGAGGGGGACACCTTGTTGCGTAGTCCAGGCCCTTCATCTCGGGGCATTGCCAGCGTCTCCAGGTCCGGGTAGGGTGGGGAAACCAGAAAGGCCAGTGCGAGGAGGTGTCGCAAGAGGCCGGGCTGGGCTTGCTCTGGGAGTGGGCGTAGCCCCTGTGTCACACGGGCCTCTCAGACACGGTGCAGACTCCAGCGATCCAGGCAGGTCTGGCCTTGGCCGAAACCGTGCCACCGCGTGCCAGGCGCCACTCCAAGTGCTTCTGGGGCTCCGTCTCCTTGGATCCTGGCAGCCTGGTCCGCTTTCGGGAGGGTTTTCCCGTCATTTTATAGAGAAGAGACCCCAGGCCCAGAGGCTGAAGTGACCTGGCCGTGGCCACACAGAGTGTCCTGCCCTATCACACTTAACTCGCGCAGATCTGTCGTGAGCCCCCACCCCTCCCCCCTGCAATGAGGCCTCTGAGAGCCAGGGTGTGGCCAAACACGGGAACGATATTTCAGGTTTGTCAAACAGCGCTGTTCGGTTGTTTAGGGGACAGGCAAAAGGATGAAAATGATTAACCCTAGGAGGAAGAGAGTGAAGCATGATTCTGCTCGGAACCCTTCCGTGGCTCCGTGTCACTCAGGAAAAGCCAAAGCCCTCCCTGCGGCCCACGACCCCTCACAGTCTGCCTCCATGACCTCCCTGACCTCGGCTCCCCTCCCACTGCCTGCACCCCGGTTCTGTTCCACCCACGCCGACCAGGCCGGCGTGTCCCTTCCGCAGGGCCTTTGCATGGCCGTTCCCTGACATTTGGAACTCCCCTCCCCCGTGTCCCCTGGCTCCTTCCTTCGCCTCTTTCAGGTCCTTACTCAATGTCACCTTCTCAGTGACAGGGTCATTTGACACCACAGCAGCCCTCTCGCGCACACACACACACACACCCCATTCCACTTCCCTCCTTTAATTTTCTTTGAGCACTTTTCACATCTGACATACAGAAAACATGTGATTTCTAATTCATTCATCCATGTCCCCGTGGGCGCAGGGACTGTTGTCTGTGTCGTTGACTTATTGAGCAGCAGTGCAGGCCAGGCCCTGTTCTAGGCACGGGGGCCACAGCAGTGGACAAAAGGGCAAAACCTCCTGTGTCCATGGAGCTCACATTCTAGAAGGGGAGACGGGCCCTCAGCCAGATAAGCAGGTAACTATACGATAGGAGACGTGCAAGTCAGGAGATCGGCCACGCCAAGCAGGCGGTGGGGGGAAGGGCGCTGTTTAGCTGGGGGGGCCTCTCCGAGGATGTGGCCTTTGAGCTGCGGCCTGAAGGAAGCACTGGAGTCAGTCTGCGGCCGTCAGAGGGGGAGGGACGGTTGTAGGCACAGAGGCGCTGGAAGGGAACGTGCGGAGCGTGGGCACTGTGGGGACCAGTGTCCCCAGATGGGCAGGTTGGGCCCGATGTGCAGGCAGGTGAGGTTGTGGCAAGGACTTGGCATTTCATTCTAAGCAAATGCGACGCAAGGGAAGAATCGGGGGGCCCTGACCCGACAGGTGTTCGCAGGGTCTCCGAGTGGGGAACAGACCGTGGGGGCGGGGTGGGAGCAGGGCGGGGTCAGGGACAAGGGCTGGTGGGGAAAGGTCAGGTTCAGGATTATCTTGAAGTCAGGGCCACAAAAATCGCTCCATCCCAGTCTTCCCACCTCAGCGGGCAACACCGCCACCGTCGCCTCCATTGCTCGTGCCACAAACCTCGCGTCCCAGGCCGTCTGGCATGGTGGGGACAAGCGTGGCCCCTGGAGCCAGCTGCAACGGCTTGGCGTCGGAAATCCAAGTTCCACCACTCACATGCCAGCGTGAGCTTGGGCAAATCCTTAACCTCTGCGTGCCTCAGTTTACCCATCGGTAACATGGAAGTAGTAATAGGACCTGCCTCGTAGGGTTATTGTGAGGATCACTGAGTGACGGCTCGATGAATGTCAGCTTTCGTTTGTTGCACACCCACGTGCAGTCCCTTGCTGTGTCCCGTGTGAGCTGCGTTCTCCGCCTCGGTTGTTTGGGGGGCTGGAAGTCTCTGCACCTGGGCTCTAACCCTGGTTAGGGCAGTGGGTGGAGCCCGGGAGCCGAGGTGAGCCCCTCCTGCTCCTCGCCAGGGATTGACCTCATGGACATGGCTTCGGACCTCCTGCAGCCCCAGGGGGACGATGTGGCCCGAATCAGCTGGTACCTCCGGGACCTCATCACCCGCTACCAGGAAACCTTCAGCGTCATCGAGAAGGTGACTCTGGAGGGCTGGAGGGCGGCCCCTCCGCCCACCTCCCCGGGGCCAGCCTGACGCCGCCCCGCCCGTTGCCTTTCAGTGCCCCAAGCCCGTGATTGCCGCCGTCCACGGGGGCTGCGTTGGCGCAGGTGAGTCTGCGGCCCCCTGCTGGCGCTGCCCGCGCCCTGGCCCCCAGCCTCCGCCCTGCTGCTGGTCAGACCAGGTCCCCAGAGGCAGCCCCACACCCCGGGGGGAGGGGTGGGTTCCTGTGGTTGTTCAGCGTCCCTGGCCTCTACCTCCCAGGTGTGGACCTCATCACCGCCTGTGACATCCGGTACTGTGCCCAGGATGCTTTCTTCCAGGTGAAGGTGAGTCATCACCCAGAGCTCCTGCACGGAGCAGGGGCGCCTGGAGTGAGCCCGGAGGGCTTCCTGGAAGGGGCAGTCAGAGTTGAACCTGGCACAGTAAGACTTGGCCGTGGAGGAAGCTGAGGGGAGGGAGTGCCGGCGGCGGGGTGGGGAGGCTGGGGTGGTGCCGGAGCGGTGGGAGGGCAGAGGGGCTGGAGGTGGGCTCTGTCCTAGGCCGGAGGAACTCGCCGGGTACAGGCATGTTGGTGGGAATGGAATGGGGTGTCAGGAGGTGGGACCCCTGCACAGGTGCGGGTTTCGTGGACGGGAGGTTGTGCGGGAGCGATAGAGGGCGGAAACCAAGCCCTGCCACGATTGCTCCCCGCAGGAGGTGGACGTGGGCTTGGCTGCCGACGTGGGAACCCTGCAGCGGCTGCCCAAGGTCATCGGGAACCAGAGGTGGGTCAGGTGCTGTGGGGCGGGGGACCCCAGAGGGAGGGGACCGCAGGGCATCTCCCAGGCCTGGGCTGGCGGCCGCCTCCTCATGCGTCCTCCCTGTCCCTGCAGCCTGGTCAACGAGCTGGCCTTCACCGCCCGCAAGATGATGGCTGACGAGGCCCTGGGCAGCGGGCTGGTCAGGTAGGGCCGAGGCCACTGGTGGTTAAGTGCTCAGGGGCAGCCAGGCCTGGGTGGGGCTGCCCGGGTCCCCTCGTCTCCTCGCTCGAGCATTCCAAGTGGCGTCCTTGGATGGTCACTTTTTATCCAGAAGTCAGCACCCTGCGCCAATTGGGCCGTTTCCCTGGGGTCCTGGCCACGCTTTCATATGCGGGAGGCAGGGGTGGCAGCCCCTCAGCCTGCGCGACCGCTGGTCCCCCGTCCCTGTCCTCGCAGCCGGGTGTTCCCAGACAAGGAGGTCATGCTCGATGCCGCCTTCGCGCTGGCGGCCGAGATTGCCAGCAAGAGCCCGGTGGCGGTGCAGAGCACCAAGGTCAACCTGCTCTACTCCCGCGACCATTCGGTGACCGAGAGCCTCAACTACATGGTAAGGCGGCCCTCTGGCCAATCACAGCCCTGCCCTCGTCCAGGGCGGCCAATCGGGGCTCAGCGGCCCTGAACCCGCCGCCTCTGATTGGCGCGTTGCTGATCGTCACGCACCGTGTTCGCAGGCGTCCTGGAACATGAGCATGCTGCAAACCCAGGACATCGTTAAGTCCGTCCAGGCCGCCATGGAGAAGAAGGATCTGAAAGGCGTCACCTTCTCCAAGCTCTGAGAGCCCTCTGGTCGCAGGCCCGGCCGAGGGACCCGCCGTGGCCCGCCCCGCCCCTGCGTGTGCTCATCGCGGAGACGGGGGGCGAAGATGCTGGTCTCGGTGCCCCCTCGCCCGGTCTCCCAGTGTCTAACCTTAACGCGCGGACTCCCTCACGCCCAGGCCTTATCTTCGCCCCAGAAACAATAAAACAGTGTAAAGAACCTGGTGCCCTTCTTGTGGGGGGAGGGGCCAGAGCCTTGACCCCTGGGTGGCATGCAGGTGATGACCGTGCAGACCGGCCTGGGCAGGCCGGGGACGCCAGGGGAGGATGGAGCTAGCAGGAGTGGCTCAGCTCCCTCTGGGCTGAAAGGCGCCCGGTGGTCTCCCTGCCGGCTCCTGGGTTTGGGTGGTGTCACCCTGCATGCTACCTGTCACTGCACAGCACAGAGAGATCCGGTGCTGGCGCCTGGCTGGGGTTCCCTTGCTACCCAATCTGGAGCCAATTGCCTTACTTCTTTAAGCTTTGGGTTTTCTTATCCGTATATAATCCCAACCTCCTGGATTGATGTTTGGGATCAGTGCAAGAGACCAAGCATTAATTTAGGGCCTTCTGTATGCTGTCCTGTTCTGAGCATTTATTACCTTAGCGGTCCCTTTCAAGGGCTCTGTGAGGTCGATACTATGATTAGCCCCATTTTATAGATGGGCAAATGGGCAAACTGAGGGTAAGGCACTGATACAAGATCACGAAGCCAGGAAGTGGCACGGGTAGGATTTGAACTCAGAACCTCTGGCTCTAGACACCGATGCCATCAACCACCATACGTAGAGTAGAACGTACGTAGTAAAGACATGCGGTGGGCACGCAATAACTTTAGGTCCTTTCACAGTCGCTGGGGGAGTCAAGAACTTCCAGTTGCTCCCGGCTCTCACCTGCTTCCACTGCCCACCTGGCCTGGGCCACTCCTGGGGCCCGGCCCTGCCCTGCCCACCCTGCCTGGTCTCACCCTCCCTCTGCCAACAGAGTCGGGCAGGGTTTTATGGGCCCTGATAAGGCCCTAGCAGGGCCAAAGTCCACGAGCACTTCCTTTTGCAGGAGGGCGTAGGGAGGGGACCCAGATGATCTTGTCACCAGTGAGGCTGGCGAGGGAAGGGAGACTAGGGGGTGCTCGAGGAGAAGGTGAGAGCCTGGGAGCCCCAGAAGAGGGACCCAGTGGACTCGCCCCTGCCAGCCACTCCCTTACCGTCAAGTATAAGAGCCACCTGCCACCTGCCACCATTCCCCACTGCAGCAGCTCTTCTCGCAGGACGAGTCACCAGCCCAGCCTCTCGAGATGGCCTATGTCCCTGCACCGGGCTACGAGCCCACCTACAACCCGGTGAGATGCCAGCCGAGCCCCACTCTGACCCCACCAACCTTCCCCCGCTGGGGACCTCGGGCTCGATCTGCTCCCCCGGACGCTCGGGCTATTTGCACCCTCACCCACCCCGGCCTCTTCATCTTGGCCTTGAACTTCACACTCGTCTCCTCCCGCCTGCTTGAGGGACGGGGGGCCTTTTGGTGAGGGGTCGAGGATGCAGCGGGGGAATGGCCTCAGGCCCCTCACGAGGCCCCTTCTGCAGACCCTGCCCTACTGCAGGCCCATCCCCGGCGGGCTCCGCGTGGGCATGTCCGTCTACATCCAGGGAGTGGCCAGCGAGCACATGAAGAGGTGAGACCCGCCCCCACCAGGTGGCGGCTGCAGGGGACCCCTCCCCTCCCCCACTCTGCCTGGGGACGGGCCTCTTCGCCACCCCACCCGACGGCCCAAGACCCGCCCCGCTCAGATCAGGAGGGGACCTGGGAGCTGGGAGGGCTCACCGTGAGAGGTGGCCCCAGAGTTGGGCCACTAGACTGGAACTGACCGGGCTGACAGCCTGAATTCCGAGTTCGAATCCCAGCTCTGCCACTCCCCAGCCGGGTGACAGGGAAGCTACTGTCCCTCTCTGTGCTTCACTTTCCCGTCTGCAAAAGGGAATTGTGACATTTCAGCAGATGAAACAGCGAGAACTAGAACGGAAACACTACAAATCCTGAAGTCTTATTTTCTTAGGGCCTTACTATGCCGATAACTGTACTGACCTCATAGAATTGCTTCCCTGTTCATTGTTTATTTATCCATTGAGCATCCGCTCTGTGCCTGGGCACGGGGCAGAGCCGTGAACGGGACAAAGACCCTGCCCTCGTGGAGCCAACACCCCAGCAGGGGAGACAGACAGTGACTAAGTCAAATATGTGACATGTCTGATGGTGACAAGTGCTATGGAGAAAAACAAGGAGGGAAGGGAGATGGGGAGCATACGTGGGGACAAGTGTGGCACTGTCCCTTTAAATAGGGTGGCCGGAGAAAACCTTCCTGGAAGGGAAACATTTCAGCAAAAACCTGGGGGAGGTAACGGAGGGAGCCTTGGGGACAGCTGAGGGAAGGGCATCTGGGCAGGAGGAACAGCCAGTGCAAAGGCCCTGAGGCAGGTGTGTGGGGAGTGCTGGGAGGTGCAGAATGGACTCCGACGTGGGTGCTCACAGGGGCTCCCGCTGCATGTGGGGAGTGGGCTTCGGGGGCCAGGAAGAGAGCCGGGTGCACAGGACAGGCCTGGCCCGTGGGAGACACGCAGCGGCCGTAATTTGCAGGAGGGGACAGGCTGGGAGGAGGCGACCTGAGAAGGGAAGGTGGCGAGCGGAGGGGTGGCGGTGGGAATCTGCCTCTGGGACTCAGGGGCACGACCTCCCCTCCCTGCTGGCCTCAACAGGGCCAGGGTCACCCCTCCAGGCTGGTGCGAGGCCGGGGCGGGCGGCCCTGGGACAGGGCGGGTGGGAGAGGCTTCCTGGGGGGGGGACCCCCGCAGGGGACCGAGCGCTTTATGTCCGTCCCCCAGGTTCTTCGTGAACTTCGTGGCGGGGCAGGAGCCGGGGGCGGACATCGCTCTGCACTTCAACCCCCGCTTCGACGGCTGGGACAAGGTTGTCTTCAACTCGCAGCAGGCCGGCAACTGGGGCAACGAGGAGAGGAAGAGGAGCATGCCCTTCAACAAGGGCGCCGCCTTCGAGCTGGTGTTCATGGTCATGGCCGAGCACTACAAGGTCTGAGCCCGGCGGCCTCCCTGCCTCCCTCCCTCTCCTCTTCCTTCCTTCTGCCTCTCCTCTCTCCTCCCTCCCTTCCTTTTTTCTTTTCTTTTCCTCCATTCCTGCCTATTAAAAAAAATCCCCTTTTATCTCTTCCCCTCACTCCCACTCCTCTCCCAGAATCTTCTGATACATTTCATGTGTATCTTCTTGTTCCCTGTGTTCCTGCAAAATGTGTACTTTTGCCAGTTCTTGCAGAGAACTCTGAACATGCACAAAAGGAAGCAACAGTCTCCCGCACCCTCCAATAGTTGTCACCTCATGGTCCCTCCCCTCGCATTGCTCCCTCCCACTTCCCCTCCCGTATTATTTCCAAGCAAATCCCAGACATCACATATTTTCGTATATGACTCTTTCTGCCTTTGAAAACATAATCGCAATGCCATCATCACACCTAAAAACAGACAGGTTCTTCTTGAATGTCATCACGTATCCTGTCCTGTTTCGGTTATCTCATAAATGTCCCAGTGGCTTCCGTGACTGTGCAGGGCTTCCTTTTTTTTTTTTTTTTTTTTGAGACAGACTCTTGCTTGTTGTTGCCCAGGCTAGAGTGAGTGCCGTGGCGTCAGCCTAGCTCACCAGCAACCTCCAACTCCTGGGTCAAGCGATCCTCCTGCCTCAGCCTCCCGAGTAGCTGGGACTAGCAGGCATGGCGCCCAACATGCCCGGCTAACTTTTTCTATATATTTAGTTGGCCAGTTAATTTTTTTATTCTATAGTAGAGACAGGGTCTCGCTCTTGCTCAGGCTGGTTTCGAACTCCTGACTCGGAGCAATCCACCACCTTGGCCTCCCAGAGTGCTAGGATTACAGGCGTGAGCCACGCCCGCGCCGACCGACCAGGTTCTCCTGGATGTCCCATTAATATACGGTCACCCCACTCCTCTGCCTCTGGGCTGCCCCTACGTACACCGCACGTGACTGTCCTCGCACCACGTTCCGTCGCGTGGACCCCCAGGCGGGTCTCCTGGCGGGAAACTGCAGGCTGCTGAGCACATCTGCTGGATGCACTTGACCTTGTACCGCGGCACCGAGATTTCTGGCCTCATCACTGGAGAGAGTACATCGTGATTCTGGGGGTCGACGGACTCAGCCTTTTGAGTTGGCTTGCCACTCCCTCAATGGTGTGACTTGAGTTGGTCACTCTACCGCTCCTGCAGCCAACTTTCTTCTTCTCTTTTTTTTTTTTTTTTTTTTTTTTTGAGACAGAGTCTCACTTTGTTGCCCAGGCTAGAGTGAGTGCCGTGGCGTCAGCTAGCTCCAGCAGCAACCTCAAACCCTGGGCTCAAGTGATCCTTCCTGCCTCAGCCTCCGGGTAGCTGGGACTACAGGCATGCGGCGACCATGCGCCGGCTAATTTTTTGTATTATTATTAGTTGGCCCATTAATTTCTTTCATTTAATAGTAGAGACGGGCGTCTTGCTCAGGCTGGTTTCTGACTCCTGACCTGACAATCCGCCCGCCTCGGCTTCCAGAGAGGCTAGGGATTAGCAGGCGGTGAGCCATCAGCGGCCCGGCCTTTCTTTCTTTTGATTTTTTATTCTTTGAGACAAGTCTCAGCTCTCTTGCCCGAGCTAGAGTGCCGTGGCGCAGCCTAGGCTCCAGCAACCTCAGATCCAGGGTCAAGCGATACTCCTGCCTCAAGCCTCCCGAGTAGTGGACAGCAGGACATGTGCCACTGTGCCGGCCTATTTTTTCTTATTTTTAGTTGTTTTTCTTGCAATTTCTTTCTATTTAATAGTGGAGACGGGCGGTCTCACTCTTGCTCAGAGCTGGTTCAACTCCTGAGGCGCAAACGATTCGCCTTCGGCCTCCAGAGTGAGCCTCCATTTTCACTGAACACTGGACCTCCTTTGTCTGCCTGAACGGATCGCTGGCTGACGTCACCCACCGCAGCAGTGCTCATGGGGAGCTCCCACGAGATACCCCAACTCCCAGGACAATGCATGTGAATAACCAAGCAACAGCCTAGACCTTCGTGTGCTTTTGATCTTCCCAGGCATCCTGCGACATGATGAGTCCCGTTTTTACAGATGAGAAACAACACATCTCAGAGATAAAGTGCTTTACTGGAGGTCACCACAGTGGGACATTTCAGAGCTAGACTCAAACCAAACCTTTGGTGTCAACCAGACTTAAAGTTTCTATTCTCTCCATGCCCCAACTGCTGTGAGGGCGGACTTTTGCCCTCGGTTTGAACGTCTAAGCCCTGTGGACCCAGGATGCCCTGACTCTGGGGTGTCCCGGCTGACTCCGCAGGACTTTGTGACCCAAGTCAAGAGATCCCCTGTTCCCCGCTTCCTGCGTCTACCTTTCCAGCGGTCACAGGCTGGCGCGAGTCCTGAATCCGTCCCTGTCCTCCAAGGTGGTGGTGAATGGAATCCTTCTAATGAGTTCCGGGCCGGTCCCCCTGCAGATGGTCACGCCACCTGCAACCGTGATGGGGACGCTGCAGCTTCAGTCAATCAACTTCATCGGGGGGCCCGGCCCCCCCACACAGGTGTTGCTGTCCCCCGGTAAACTCATTTCTTCTCGTTCTATTTCAGTCCCACGGTTTTCTTTTGGTTTCTTCATTTTTTGACAGAGTCTCGCTTTGTTGCCCAGGCTAGAGTGAGTGCTGTGTGTCAGCCTAGCTGCACAGGAACCTCCACACTCCTGGGCTCAAGCCGATCCTCCCTGCCCCTCAGCCTCCCCAGTAAAGCTGGGACTACAGCATGCAACCATGCCCAGCTAATTTTTTTTCTATATACCTATTAGTTGGCGCAATTAATTTTCTTTCTATTTTTAGTAGAGACAGGGTTCGCTCTTGCCTCAGATCTGGTTTCGAATCCTGCTCCGAGGTCAATCTTACCTGCTTGGCCTCCGCAGAGAGCTAGGATTACAGGCGTGAGCCACCGTTGGAGCCGCCGCAGTCAAGTTTCTTTATGCTGAAGTACATCGCTCTGTGCCAGTCTATCTGCTAAAGGGAGCACGCAGGGGCTTAGGGGTGGACCACGACAGCCCGCTTGGGGAGAGCCAGCCGGTCACCAGACGAGTGATGGCTGGCGAGTGGCAAGGTGGGGGGGCACATGTAGCAGAAGGTGGCGGGCATGGCGGGCAGACACAGGACATTTGGGGACTCTGGAAGGGCTCCACCCAGTCGTGGGGTCAGGGACGGGCTTCCTGGAGGGAATCGCTGTGTAAACTGAGTCAGGAAGTGAAGACAAGGAGGAGTAAAGGCTACGTGAACATGGAACATGCTGAGCGTAGCTTACATCCGCTAGTCGCAGAAGTAGTTCAACGCTCCAAGTGAGCGGCCCAGCAGCGAGCTGTAGCGAGACAGGTCAACGCACCAGTCTCGCTGGTGAGCACATTGGAATCGCGCCACGCCTGCCCCCCGCACGGCGGCTTGTTGGAATTGGTGGCAGCTCCCTTGGAAAAGTGGCTGCTGAGGCAGAGCCATGAGCTCAGTGGCCTGAAAACTCCACTCCCCGAGGTACACCCTCGCGAGAAACGGCCACCCCACAACCTCACCGGGAATGTGGCACTAGTATAAAGCCCCAAACAAATCTCCAGAGGCACCACGTACGTGGCTGTTAACAGGGACAGGGATAATACAGCGTGTTCCTGCACCCAGGCGGCTGAGAAGGGACATTTACGCGGTGCAGCACGACGCACAGGGCCAGGTCTGCAGAATGCA